AGGGAGGTGGACAGGTGTAAGGGAGGTGGAGGTGTGATGACGTATACGGTTCGTTCCCCACCTCCCACACTACTTTAGTCCCTACTTCCCGGGACTGCACCCAACTCAAAGCTAGCAATACACCTACGGTGTAGTTTCTGCTGGCACATTAGTCCCTACTTCCCAGGACTGCACCCAGTACCCACTCAAGGCTAGCATGACACCTACTGTATAGTTTCTGCTGGCACCTTAGCTTCTACTTCTCGGTGATGCACCCGGTACCCACTCAAGGTAAGCATGACATCTACGGTATAGTTTCTGCTGGCACTTTGACCCCTACTTCTTAGGACTGCATCCAGTACCCACTCAAGGCTAGAGTGTCACCTACGGTGTAGTTTCTGTTGGCACATTTGCCCCCCTCTGCAAAGTTCCTTGTCGTGTGCACAAAAGTACCATCATATTCACAGTAAATGAACATCAGAACAAATTTGGGGCAGCAAACGAAGTACACAGACGTATACGAAGTGAAGATGAACTATGGAAGCAGAATAAGATATCCGATACTCCTACAAAAATATTTAAAACGCGGATGCAAAAATGTAAACGTTTTAAAAAAAAAAAGACTTAGGCGGTGACACTTACACTAAATTAAGTTTAATTAACCCCCCCCCCCCCCCGCCTTACCCTCCCCCCCCCCAAAAAAAAGTTTCTCCTATCTTGATCGATACTCACGAATCGTAACGCATTGAACACCGACCACTTTGGAGCCTGAGACCTACTCACAACAACAACACATTCCAGAAACAATAGTCGTTTACAGATAAGAGAGGTGCGGAATAAAAACAACGCGAGCGCTTTTGTCTGTGAGACAGTGTGTTGACCGCGTCGAACGAACCCAAACCACATTTTGGCACACATTTATAGATGGCGAAGGAAGACATCTCATAAGACCCCTGGAACACAGCACACCTCGTGGTCGACGAGATAGGGTGATTTTGGCAAGTAGTACTGAAAGAAAGGTTATACGAAACCTGTTCTGGTTTAGGTGGTGATTTGTCGCAAAGTAGTATATACTACCTTAATGACCAAGAAAAAACAGGACCCGGTAGGCGGAGGTCGAGGGAGGGGGTCATTGATAGAATTGGCGAAATAAATTGACACTTTAATTTACTAAAAACAGTTTGCTGCGAATAGCATCTCCAACGACTTACGTAACTGCAGAGACGGGCAGTTTTTTCGCCACAGTATGAGAAGATACGGATGGGAAGACATCGTGACGCCGGCAGGATTGATTGAAAGCGAGGTAGACGTAGAAAACAAGACTGAGTTGTGATTCAAGAACCGACACCATAAGACTCGGGACATTCCCATAAGCGGTTCGTCGTCATCTTCAGGAGCAAACTCTGAGATCCAATTCAAGAGTCTGATTGTATGTCAGTCTTGCCCATTCCTTCCAATAAGACTTACTATTACGTGATAGCTGATGTGGTAAACATTATATCGACCGCTTTTGCTTCCAACAACTTGTCCTAGTACCCTCCTGCGACTGACAATGAAGAAGGATGTAATTATAATAATCAGTCTCAAAAGAGTTCTAACCCATGCCATCCCTGCTGACATTTAAGTGTGCACTCTTCTATAACGGCCGCTGGCTGTCTTTACTTCCAATATAGTTTCCATGTTTGTGGTATAGAATAGGTCTAACTGGAAGCTTTTGTTCATGAAGGACAAGCCAGATGTTAACAATGCTCCATAGGAACAAGTGGAGCGTAAGTAATAAAGTAAATGACCCCTTTTCCCCTCTCTAACAGTAATAGCTACACCTATATTTTATCGACCAAATTGCATTTGATTGGTGATGTCAGCATCAACCCGACTGCCCGTTACTACCAAGGACTTTTATGCTATAGCGTGGGGGTTAGATACTTGTCTCGGGTGCGAAGGTAGTGGGTTCAAAACCGTATCGATCTGGATTTTGTTTAAAGTATTTTTGTGTGTGTTATAAAAACTGGCTTCCAAGCCGAACCAGCTTAATATGGATACCAAATACGGGTCTAGAGCTGTATATTAAAATACTCATAAGGGCGTGAGAAAAAAGCCTCCACTTTTAAATGAACTTAATAAAACAGAGTTAGACTCAGAAACTAAGACTTAACTGTCAGTTAAGGACCGACATCGTAGCTCTCGGGACATTTACATAAGTGTTCTGTCTTCATCTTCATGAGCAAGTGCAGAACTCGCTGCAGAGAGTGGTATTGCAAGGAACGAACGAACGAACAAACTTTATTTTTTTTTTTAAAAGGGTTACAAATTAGGCATGTAGGCCCGTCTAACAATCTGCCCTTTGAGGTGTTTCTCCTTTCTTACATCTTTTCATTCATACATCAAGTAATATTAAACATTATCAATAGCATCAACAATATTCATTACAAGCAATGGAATGTGCCCGTCTCTAACTACCGTAAACCGTACTAGTGTCAACAGTGGCATGGAGGGATGTCATCGGTGGAACTGATGCAGAGGACAAGGGACGTAGATCAGTGGAAAGGCGTGAACAGCTACGCCAGTCGGCAAGGCAAGTGATGATGATGATGATGATGATGATGATGATGATGATGATGATGATGATGATCCTTTACCAGTGTATATTATAATTTATTTCGCATATAAATAAGGATACCATAGTAGACATATGGGCATGCACTGACAAGTAACTCTCATTAATTAATTATTTTTAAATTAATTATTTCATTCATTCATTTATTTATTTATTCATTTATTTATTTATTCATTCATTCATTCATTTATTCATGTATTACTTCATTCATTTATTCATGTATTCCTTTATTCATTTGTTTATTGAATAATTAATTCATTCATTTTTTATTCTTTCACTCATTCATCCATTTATTCATTCGTTCGTTCTTTCATTCATTGCCCAGTTGTGTTACTATGGGCACATAGGGCTCGCAGTTTCTCCCCACCCCTATTCTGTTCTATCCTGTGCTATGGAGTCCAGTCCAACATCTCTGGTTTCTCTCATCCACGTTTTCCTGAGTATTCCTCTTGGACGACAACGTCTAGTTTGAGAATGGAGGTGGAGGCAGTCACTGCTGCCTTTCGCTGGCTTGACAATCAGCTGTACACACATGCCGTCATTGTAACTGACTGGAGACAGGTATGTTAAGTGCAGAGTGGCAAGCGTCACTTCAAAGGTCCCGAGTAGTTAGCCTTTGGATTTTTTCTCCGGGTCATGCCGGTGTGTTGGGAAATGAGCAAGCCGATAGACTGGCCGGTACTGCACCACTTGGTGGTGAACTGATGTGTGACAAGCTGGATGTTGCGAGGGCCTTTTGGGAGCGACTGAACAGTGCCGAGGAACAGATAGATCATTACGGCCTGAGGAGATTAGCACTACTAGGAGTTACACTCAGGGTAAAGGCGAGACGGATTTTCAATCGGATAGATACTGGCATCATCGGAATAGAAACTCTTCGCTTGCTGCTAAAGATGGGGACGGAGTGCTTATGGAGATGTCCCGAGTGCTGTGATGTCGATTCTTAATTCAACATTGAACATTCTCTTGAACGACGTCTCCTCAGTCCATGTGGTTGTTCTATGATAGTCTCTTCGCAGACTGTGTCCAATACAGTGCTATCTTTTCTATATTTTGACTGGTGTCATCAGGGTTGCCCAGACCTTTCTCTTATTTCTTCACTGCTCTTGAGTTTTATCCCATTGTGTGTTCATCATTTTTTTAAGCATTTGGTTTCGAATGCATTTGAATTTAATTCCATATCTTTAATGGTTCTCCTGTCACTGGCTCATTTTAAAACTGTAATAATCTTAGAATAAAAATACGTGACATGGTTCAAAAATATATAATTAATTGTTTAAGTTACCAGAAAGTCTAATCTAATAGAGGAGACAGGCAAAAATGACAAAACTAAACTTATGGTCACATACTTCCGCAGGGCCTAATACCCAATCCTTGAAGTCAACAAATATATTGAGTGAGATCTTTTCGAGGAATCCTTTACTAAACCTAAGATACGAACCATAGACAACTTACTGCGTTGCTATAAGATCATAATGTAATATTTAGCACAGTCTTTCCGATCACTAAAACATGATTCTAACACCCTGTCATTCTACTCTGTCCAAATAATAGCGTCTCCTGTCTCCTCTCTGAATACTGAATGTATTCTCTCCTTGTCCCACAACCTCATGGCTTTTTGTCACAGTTCGTGAATTCCGTCTCGGCCCTGTAGACAGCGTGGCCTCCTCAGTGGAGGGTTCGATTCACCAAGACATACCCTTCTAGTCACACCTTGTCGCAGTCAACTATAAAAGTGGTGCGATTCTTGGGACAGAACGAGCTCCAAATTTCGTTCAAGTTTTAAGCCGCCTATCCTTTACCTAATGCGGGGATGCCGGGTTCGATCCCAGCTGCGGGCCATGCGCCTTGCGTTAGTTTCGACAGTGGTATCAAGAAAGCCGACCGTCCAGTAAGCAATGGCAAACTACAGGACGTAAATTTGCCTAGAAAAACCACACAACAGCCAAAGGACTATTTTGGTTGGCTCTGCAACGTCCTGTAAAGAATAGGCAACTAACCAGTCCTTTACCACTTTACGACTGGGGAAAAACAGCGGTAGAAGAGGGAGAGACAGACAAAGAGAGACGATAACGGGTGGACCGCGACAGTGGCGTGGTAAGATATCATCGGTGAAACTTATCCAGAGGACTTGAGACAGAGATTTGTTGGGATGCATGAACACCTACGCCAGTCGGCATGGCACGTGATGATGATGATGATGATGATGATGATTCTTTACCAGTGCGTACAATAATGTATTTTGCAATGTTTCCTTGATTATCAATATTACTACCTAAATAAGTAAATAAGGTGCAGACCAACACGTAGATGGCCACAGGACATAAGTGACTCCTTGGACGTCAAAGTGCAGGAGGCGACAGAGCTGGCGAGAAACCGAGTTTCTGTCGAGCAGGTGTGACTCCTAATACCTGTATCGACGCATCATGTCTTCCTCTATGTCCGCCTGGGTGGCGTCTTCCCTCACCCCGCAGCGCCGCACAAACGTGTTACCGTAGGACAGAATCCACTTGTTGGCGACTGCAATATGATCACACATGGTTACTATTGTGAATAAAATTTATAATAACAGATGTTTTACTAGTGGCAGAACACAGTATTTCGTTCATAACGCTGACGATAATAAAGATATGGAAACGAATTTGGAGTGGAATTACCTCAGTTCATGATCATTTAGGTGACATCAAAATAAACCGCGAAACATACAGACATTGAAATCCAACATCATAGCGACCATCCAAACAGTGACATCTGAGTACTGGGACGGACTTTCCACAATGTGTAACTCCAGGGTTAATCATTATAATTTATGAGTTAATTGTTCATGGGGGTTTTTTTTTTTGGGGGGGGGGGGGGGGGGGAGGGGCATTTTTATCGCATGTTGGACGTGACCATAAGTGCTCCGATCTCCTCCTAAGTTTGTCTCAAAGTGTTTTTAGGCTAACAACTCCCATTCTATTCTGGTTGATGTAACGAAGGTGGCTTCCGCAGGGTTTTCCTGTCTCGCTGCTCAAATTGGTACACCCAGGGTATGCACTTTATTCAGTGACAAATCATTTTCCATGAAACTACAACCTCACAGCGTTTAGCCTCTCGTATGGATTTAATTATGTCTCTCCTGTCCATAGATGGTCCATTCCTGGCAGTCGCAGTGCCAGTCATGTGTTAAAAACCACCAAAATCATCGCACTGGCGCCATTTCCCTAAGCACTCCGTCCCCATATTCAACAGCAAGCCCAAGGTTCTCGTTACAATTTTACCAATAACAGTCTGACTGTATGTACGTCTACCCCTTTCACTGAGAGTGGAATGCCGGCCAGATCCCCAGAGTAATTGAATGTAATCTCTCCTTTGACTAAGTGTGGAATGTTGGCCAGATCCCCCGAGTGACTGAATGTAGTCTCCCCCTTTCACTGAGTGTTGAATGCCGGCGAGATTACCTGAGTGAATGTATGTAGTCTCTCCCTTTTACTGAGAGTGAAATTCCGGCCAGATCCCCTAAGTGAATGTATGTAGTCTCCCCCTTTCACTGAGTGTGGAATGCCGGCCAGATTCCCTGAGTGAATGTATGCAGTCTTCCCCTTTCACTGAGTGTGGAATGCCGGCGAGATTCCCTGAGTGAATGTATGTAGTCTCTCCCTTTTACTGAGAGTGAAATTCCGGCCAGATCCCCTAAGTGAATGTATGTAGTCTCCCCCTTTCACTGAGTGTGGAATGCCGGCCAGATTCCCTGAGTGAATGTATGCAGTCTTCCCCTTTCACTAAGTGTTGAATGCCGGCGAGATTCCCTTAGTGAATGTATGTAGTCTCCCCCTTTCACTGAGAGTGAAATTCCGGCCAGATCCCCTAAGTGAATGTATATAGTCTCCCCCTTTCACTGAGTGTTGAATGCCGGCGAGATCCCCTGAGTGAATGTATGTAGTATCTCCCTTTCACTGAGTGTGGAATGTCAGCCATATCCCCTGAGTGAATGTATGTAGTCTCCCCCTTTTAATGAGTGTGGAATGCCGGCCAGATTCCCTGAGTGAATGTATGTAGTCTCCCCCTTTCACTGAGTGTGGAATGCCGGCCAGATTCCCTGAGTGAATGTATGTAGTCTCCCCCTTTCACTGAGTGTGGAATGCCGGCCAGATCCCCTAAGTGAATGTATGAAGTCTCCCCCTTTCACTGAGTGTGGAATGCCGGCGAGATTTCCTGAGTGCATGTATGTAGTCTCCCCCTTTCACTGAGTGTGGAGTGCCGGCCAGATGCCCTGAGTGAATGTATGTAGTCTCCCCCTTTCACTAAGTGCGGGATGCCGGCCAGAACCCCTGCGTGACTTTTCGCTGTACCAATCTATTCCAGCCATGATTATCTACCGGGAGTTGACGTGGCGTAGTGACTAGCAAATGTATTCCCTGTACGCCTAAAGGCGTGGAAAAGGGACCTTCACTTATATATTTTTTTACACGATGATCTATGTATGCCTCCAGTACTGTTTTACTCGCTCCATTAATTGTGTGTTACCTGTAAGCGAAACCCATTTGGTATATTTCATTAATTATCACCGTGCATTCGCTCACCAAAGCGAGGCTCTTTTGCCTAACATTTTCATCTTGCCTTTACTTCTTCATTCGTGGCTTAACGTTTAGAGTGCGACTGGTAATTCCAACATACCGTGATCGAAACCCACTGCTGGCTGTGTGGATTTTTATCATAGTATGGAGCGTCGCAGGTCAACGCATCCTAAAATGGGTACCAGGATGGCTGTCCTGGGAAGTAAAGACGGCCGGCGTAATGCTGACCACATTACCTACCTAGTGCCGATTGATCTGTAAAAAATATGGGTGCTCTTCTCATATGCCCGATACGCCTAAAGTCGTGAAAAGGGATCGTTACTTAGTTTTCTTCATACTGAAGTTCACAACATGTCGACCCCCCCCCCCCCCCCGCCTCTATGTCTGTCTGTCTGTCTCTATACCTCTCTCTCTCTCTCTACCTCTCTCTCTCTCTCTCTCTCTCTCTCTCTACCTTCTCTCTCCTCTCTCTCTACCCCTCTCTCTCTCTCTCTCTCTCTCTCTCTCTCTCTCTCTCTCTCTCTCGGCTGCCACGGAACACTGTTTATGACAAAGATACGTCATATAAACAAGTTACTGCAAATTAAGACTATTTTTCGAGCTTTCACGATATTTAACAACTAGTGATTGATTTATACAGTATTAGTTATGGGTGTGTCGGCTCTGTGGCTAAGTCGATGCGAACGCTTCGTAATGCCGGGATGCCGCGTTCGATCCCAGTTGCGGGCCATGCGCCTTGCGTTGGTTTTAACACTGGTATCAAGAAAGCCGACCTCCAGAAGCAATGGCAAACTACTGGACGTAAATTTGCTTAGAAAAACCACACAACAGCCAGGGGCTGTTAGGGTTGGTTCTGCAATGTCCTTTAAAGGATACGCAACTAACCCAGTTTTAGGTGTAGCTCACAAAGTTTGCGCCAGCAATCTTGAGGCCGATTTGAACACAAGGTCCACTTGTACACAATGTGGATTTGTATACAAGGTCGATTTCTACCCAAGGGAGGCTCGTACACAGTGTCGATTTGTATACAAAGTCAATTTGTACACAAGGTAGATTTTTACACAAGGTAGAGTTGTACTCAAGGTAGACTTGTACTCAAGGTAGACTTGTACTTAACGTAGACTTGTACTCAAGGTCGAATTGTACACAAAATAGACTCATACACTAAATCGATTTGTACACAACACAGACTTGAACACAAGGTCGATTTGAACACAGGGTAGACTTGTACACAATGTGGCTTTGTATAAAAGGTCGACTTCTATACAAGGACGGTTTGTACGCAAGGTCAATTTGCACACAAGGTCGATGTGTAGAGAAGGTCGACCTGTACACGATAATTCGCGTCAACTTGAACACGCCCATGAGCCGCCTACTTACTCCATTTTTCGCCGACGACCACTGGGCAGCCCTGATGCCAGATCTGTTCTTCCTGATGACCGGATGGAGTGAAGTTGTACCAGAACAAGGCGCTGTTCTGTGGGAATTGTGAATAGTGGTAATTTACACGAGAAACTGACACACACACACACCTACACACACAGTTAGCGCAGTCGATAGGAGGCTCGCTTTCATTCAAATCCAACTGCGACTCGCTGCAGCACGCGGCCGGTGTTCGAAACCGGAGGGTTTCCGGGTTTAACCCAGCCTCTAGATAATGAGTACCAGAGGTAATTTAACATTCTGGGTTGAATAGAGGAACGTCGCTGTAGCTACGGAGTTGCCGGCGGACGGCGACACAGGTTGACAGTTTCTTATCAGCTGTCCGTACTGATGGCAGAGTACGTATGGTTTATAACCGTGTGCAATGATGCTGGTTCGAATATCCCCACTAAACTTTTGTTTTTCACTTTTTATATATGGGTGCAGCATTTGCTGAGCCATACATAGATCTTATTGATGAGGACACAGCGTTAAAATACAATGCACAAGAGAAATCAATTAGGAGACAGTATATCGTCTGACAAAAACCATAGCAGTGACGCTAATCATCATTATCATTATCGTCATCCTCATCTCATCCTCATCTCATCTTCATCATCATAATCATCGTCATCTCATCATAATCATCGTCATCCTCATCCTCATCATCGTCATCCTCATTATCGTCATCCTCATTCTCATCACCGTCACCCTCATCATTATCACCGTCATCCTCATCATAATCATCGTCATCTTCATCATTATCATCGTCATCCTCACCATAATAATCGTCATCCTCATCATCAACACCATCATTGTCATCAGCATTATCATCCTCCTCATCCTCATAGTCATCATCGCTATCCTCATCCTTATTTTTTTTTCTTTTTCTTCTTGTCTCCCCTCTTCTAATCTCCAGACTACAATGGAGCATAAGCTGTCAACTAACACACCTTAAGCCTTGTTATCCTTTGCTATCACGTGAAAGAAATTCAAGCGCCCCCCCCCCCCCCCCCCCCCCCCCCCCCCCACCCCCCCCCCCCGCCTCCGAAAGCTAACTTACTTTTTTTTCCCTCGCCACCATTTGTCTTTGTCTTGTTTGCCCCTTTGAGACTGTGTTTTGATGCAAGAAGTTCCTAGTTGTTCTACGATCGTGTATTCTTGGCATGTGCCCTGTTCGACCCCATTGTCCTGTCTTCTCTCTCTCCCTCTCTCTCTCTCTTAAAGTATTTTTGTGTGCACTCATTTTTATTATTTTATTTCTTCTTCTTCTTCTTTTCTTCTTCTTCTTCTTCTTCTTCTTCTTCTTCTTCTTCTTCTTCTTCTTCTTCTTCTTCTTCTTCTTCTTCTTCTTCTTCTTCTTCTTCTTCTCCTTCTTCTTTTTCTTCGCATTTATTAGATGTAAACAACGGCAGAAAGTTCTGGTTGTTTTTCCACTTCTAGACTTCAGTCATGTTCCTGATCGTTACATGCACATCAGTTTTACAGAACTGACTTACTTCGTAGCAGATTGTTGGTAACCTGCCTTTCAAGCAGATGCACTCTAGCTCCAAAGGAAGCTCCCAGTTAGTCGACTATTAGACATACCTGTTTGGAAGGCAGTGAGTCTGTTCTTGTTTCCCCTACAATTGGGCCCTGGAACCTACACGGGGGTATTTTATATCTATTATACGTCTGGCTCTCTAATGTAGTTGGTTAAACCTGACTGCGCGGTAACCAGGTGACGAACCCCTTGTGGTCCTGGTTCACTCCCGGGGGTAGGCAGAAAAGCCAAATTTCTCCGAGATTTACGGTATTTATCACGGAATCAAGGCCGAAGGGTTGCGATATCCATAGAACTGAGCCAAAGGGTTAGGAACTCATTTCTGGATATTTAAAAAAAATCTATTATACCTATTTGCCATTCAGCAGAAAAGAAGGATAATTATAAACATTATTTTAATTAGGTCTCACTCAGCGCTCAGACTCCCTAATCCCCCATCCCTAAAAATTGAGTTGGGGCCCCGCTACGTGCTTTATTTGTATCCATGCCCCTGGCAAGGGTAGTCAAACAGAATGGAAGAGAAAGTGAGAACGAGAGAATAAGAGGTAAGACAGCATTCTGTCAATATTTACCTTGACTGGATGTAGGAGCAGGCGCAGGTCCGGGAACGACATGTACCCGCCCAGGGGTACCTCACTCAACTACCGACAAGATATTCACAAATACTAATTTTACATTTAGCTACATTCATTTAGTGTGTCGTATAGATTTTCTTCTCCTTTCCCCTTCTTCTTCATTTTGAGGAGCTGTCGTGGTGTAGCGGCTAGGCATCCGCCTGAATATCGTCAAATCGTGGCTTCGAATTCGAACGGAGCCGGGCCTTTTTATTTCTCTCCAAACAAAAATTACCTTGGCTCCCTTATCGACCTAGCCTTTAGTGGGTGCCTGGTAAAGTCATGGGAAGTAAAGGCGGCCGGTGTGATGTTGACCATATCCTTCACCGAGTACCGATTAGTATATAAAATATCGAGCTTGCAATATATGCCTAATTTGCTAAGTGGTTAAAATGACACTTACTTTTTTTTTCCAAACTTTTATGTTTGCCGGCTCTGAACTTAGGTGGAAAATCCTGACTGTTCGTTCATGAATGCAATTTACTCATGGTGCAGGACTCGATTGTTGAGTGCACTTTTACTTTGCAGATTTGGCATCTCTGCATGCTGACTGTTGGCTTTCTGTCTTTCATGCAGATGCGCTACTACTTCGAAGGCTGTTTCGATAGCGAGGCGCACACACCATTTGGGGCGACAAGATTCGATTCCCGGCACGATAACTGTAGCTTTCGATTTGTATGTTGTCTAATGTGTTTTTCTACCTTTCTACTTCTTTCTATGAATGCCGATCGATTTATTGTCTGTCTGTTTATTACATTTAATAAAAACACCTAAAATAAAACAAACTTCTTCTGTGCCACTACAGGTATGTGTCAAATACTGCTAGCCCTATGCACTAGAATTCTATAACAGGACAGAGAAACCATTTATTTTTCTTGAAGATTTCTTGAAACTTCCGCGTTACGTCTTCTAGACCTGAACTCTGTATACAGAAAGATATGGTTCTGATATTGAGGCCGCTCTGGTAAAACAGACAGTTATGTTTGATCGTTATTGAATTTGTACTTTAGTTATATAGGATTCACTTTTCTGCCTCATTTATGTGATTGCTACTTTCTCATGTGAACAGTAAGTATAAGTACTTTGGAGTGGCTGTTGCATTGGACGACTGAACATGCATGGGAATGCCCAATGTGCAGTGACGTCGATTGTGGTAAAATAACATAATTGTTACTGTAGTATGCGCCTGACGAGATACAGTGAAATAAGCCAGGCAATGAATTGGGCAATCTATTGTTTGTGTCTTCTTTGTTCAAAGACAACATATATATTGACTACACATATACTGATTACACATATTTCACTAGGCATAGATTGACTTCACGTATATTGACTACACATACACTGACTACACATATTTTACTAGGCATAGATTGACTTCACGTATATTGACTACACAAATACTGACTACACATATTTCACTAGGCATAGATTGACTTCACGTATATTGACTACACCTATACCGACTACAGAAATATTGACTAAACATATATTGACTACACATGTACGTACTACACATATACCGACTACAAATATGCCGACCACGCATAGATTGACAACACATAAATTGACTACACAAATTTCGACTACACAAATATTGATTACACATATATTGACTACATACACATAACCTTAAAAAGATGGACTACACAATTATTGACTACACACATATTGACTACACATCGATTGACTACACATAAATTGACTACACATATATTGACTACACATAATTTGACTACACAAATATTGACTACATACACAATACACCCATCTGGAGATCATCCACCACGCCCTGTACTCATCTTCTCTTTGGCCTTCTTATTTCCCTTCTCCCAGGAATATACCCCTCCATTATTGTTCTCTCTAAGCTTTCCTGACGTTTCAAGCGGCCAACATGTTGAGATTTTCTATGTTTTATCGTCTTTAATTACCAACCTTCTTCAGTATTCAGCTATCGAAGTATAGATGAATTTCTTATTTTCTTTAGCCATGATATTCTTTTAACCTTCCTTAAATAGCATGTGTATTCAAATGCATTTATGCGCTGTTCAGCTTGTTTAGTAAGTGTCAGATCTCACAGGCGTATGTTGTATGGGAAAGATGCATTCTTTTAGAAATTTAATTTCTGTAGTTCTGTCTGTCCCACTCCATTATTTATTCAGTTAGTCTTTGAAGAGCAGTTGATATTCGTTGTTTAATTTCTTTCATTGTGTCACCATTGTTGGTAATCAATCAATGACCCAAGATTTGGAACCTTTTCTACAACCTCCGATCTTTGCTCATTAACATATATTTCTTTCTGCATAGCAGTTTTATGTTTATGAATTATCTTTGTTTTTTGCTATGTTAAGATATAAGTTGTGACTTTCACTGTTTCTTTGGGTTGAGGTTATTAGGTTTTCTATTTCAGTCTGTGATGTGGATAGCAGCAATACTGTATCATCGCCATATCGGATCTCTGGTATTTCATGAGCACCGACATATATTGCTCTCTGGTTATATCACCTTTGGTATTTCTCATGATACTTTCGGTGTATGGTTTAAACGAATAGGGTGATAGCACATAGCCCTGACGGACTCCTTGCTTGATGTCAAACCATTCTGATGTCTCACCATTTTTTTCTAACCGCTGCTTGTTGGTCTAGATAGAGCATTGCGATGGAAAGAAAGCCGATATTTCTCATGATTTCCCAAAGTTTCTGATGTTGCTCACAGTCAAATGCCTTTGAATAATCCATAAAACAGGAAAATAGGTTTACATCAAATTTGCTGGACTTTTCTATTACTAAACGCATGTTCGTGATCTCTCCCTTGTCTAAATCCAGCTTGAACCACGTTAATCTCTCCTTTCATTTTCTTACGAAGTTTTTCCATTTTAGATTTTTAGTAGAATTTTACTTGCCTGACACTTGTTGACTGTAGACATGTTGACTACACACATGTTGACTGTAGACATGTTGACTACACACATGTTGACTGTAGACATGTTGACTACACACATGTTGACTACACACATGTTGACTACACACATGTTGACTACACACATGTTGACTACACACATGTTGACTACACACATGTTGACTACACACATGTTGACTACACACATGTTGACTACACACATGCTGACTACACACATGCTGACTACACACATGCTGACTACACACATGCTGACTACACACATGTTGACTACACACATGTTGACTACACACATGTTGACTACACACATGTTGACTACACACATGTTGACTACACACATGTTGACTACACACATGTTGACTACACACATGTTGACTACACACATGTTGACTACACACATGTTGACTACACACATGTTGAATTAACATATAATACGCGATGATATTTAGCAATATGTTTTCCTGGGAAGAGGAGCCACAAGACCATGTTGACCGTGTGCGAATCTGAGCGGTGATCCCACACTCCTATCATCACAGCACATGATGATGATGAGGATGGTGAGGATAATGATGGCGTTGAATATAAAAACTGGGTCACTTACATAGATCAGAAACGAAGCAATTCTGTTACCGGAGTAGGTCAAGGTCCGATTTGTGACTCGGTTCCTGAACTAGTGGACAAGCAAACACAATCTATTCTGCACTCCGTCATCAGTTTTTGACTGAGAATCAATCGTGCTAATGAATATGTACATGTGCCACAGACAAGCTCTTTATCCCAACTTTACCGTACGCCAGTTAGAATGAAATAAAATATGGCTAGCCTCATGATTTTAAAAATGCATTGTAGTCTTCAGAAATACATTTTCTTCTGCGTGTGACCTCAAAAGGACGGTTGGCAAGTTGTGTTATTGTTTACGACTAGAGTGCAATATGAGGAAATCGCTAATTTTGTCGCCTTTGAAGACATGCTTTTTGGAGGTCGGTGCGTCGACCCCCCCCCCCCCCCTACTCCTTTCCCCAATATTAAGACTAGCAGACGCAAGAAGTAAAGTGTATGTTTATTCAAGGGGAGCAACATCATTGCACATGGTTGCAACCCATCAGCGCCCCGTTCTACTTCTAACTCATGCCTGAGTCTGAAGATTCTCAGAGCAGAGCACGAACTCCATTGCACCGGCGTGGATCCTGAAATACTTTAGGTAGATTTCTACCTTCAAATTTTGTCCAGGCTACACTTTTCGAATTCTTACTGCTACGTTGCCAAGGCCGGGGGGGGGGGGGGGGGGTGAGGGGGGGGGGGGGGTTACTAAAAGTCCACGTGAAAAATACCCAGATTTCACGGTGGCTTGAACCCGGGACCTCCAGCACTCGAGGTGGACGGACACCATACCTTGAGACCACTCAGCACAAAGAATTAAAAGAATAGGTTGTAAGAAAGTGCATCTAGATTGTGTACGTTTATTCAGAAGAAGAAGAAGTAGTAGTAGTAGAAGTAGTAGTAGTAGTAGTAGTAGTAGTAGTAGTAGTAGTAGTAGTAGTAGTAGTAGTAGTAGTAGTAGTAGTAGTAGTAGTAGTAGTAGTAGTAGTAGAAGTAGTAGTGGTAGTAGTAGTAGTAGTAGTAGTAGTAGTAGTAGTAGTAGTAGTAGTAGTAGTAATAGTAGTAGTAGTAGTAGTAGTGAACTCAAGGACAAACACGTGGTTGGATTCATACTAGGCCCCATGTTAGCTAAGAGAATCATAAACACTGAATATGTCTCCAAAAAAAAGACCCGGTACCTCTTCACGGGTGATCCTCATCCGCATGGTGGCATTTGTGTCACCGAGAGTTTATCGCTTGTCTGATGTGCTGGTGGGGTACAACTTACATACATACATACTTCTACAGCATTCACAAAACCGCATTCCAGTGTCGGAGGCTATTATTTTGTTTGTTTTAAAGCCCCACCATGGCTATTGGCTGGGCCTCAATATAACCTAACGGTTGGAGGAGTTTTTTTTTGGGACCTCTCCCCCGGGTGATCCTCATTCGTATGGTGGCACTTTGTGTCACTGGGTTTTTATCGCTTGGTGGATGCCCTGGTACGGTTAAATCTCACTCTCATCTTCGGTCGTACGCTAAGAGCTCCAATTCCTATGGTACCAGTAACTGCCTAATTGTATATCTGTTTTGCATTTCCCTTGGGTGTTGAGCGTCTGACAGATCCTCTGGTAACTCCTCTATCTATGCCTCCGTTTTATTCTCTCATTCCCAAAGGGTCCGCACAACAGCTTGTCATACATCAATTCACAACAAAGTGGTGCGGAATCGGCCAGTCTATCTACCTGCTCATTTCCCAACATACCGGCGTGACTTGCATAACATATCAAAAGTATGCTAACTACCCGGGACCACTGAAGCGATGCTTGCCTGCCACTCTGCACAGATCATATCTGTCTCCACCTTTCTGAACATGCTCTTTGAGTCAGTTACAATGATGGCATGTGTTACTTTATTTATAATAAACAAACAAAATACAGAAAAGGATTTATGATTCATAGTATATAGATATCTATATACATAATCATACATGATCCACATTCAGTCACGAATGAATCGGTAGCGGTAAACATAGAGTTTGAGATTACAGACGGGCTTTCGACTTAATACCTACCTCGAAGGGATCTCTGTGCAATCCAAAGTAACCCCCAATCCCATAATTGACCAACTGCAGAGAAAAAGCAAAATGAACTCTGTATAATTTCCCTCACTCACATTCAGTACAAGTGGGTTCTGTTGCGCTCCGGTTTTTTCCCCCCTCTCCCGAACCGCTCTACAAAGATGTGACTACCCGGAGATTAATATCATTCTCAATATCAAGCCAACTGGTCAAATCCCAGAGACCTCTTTCAACCTACCAAAAGGTTGTGAATGAGATGCCTGTATCAACCACGGAAGTCTGGTGCAGTCTGTAGTACTGTGTGGGTAATGTTGTTTCAGTAGAGATTTAAACTCTCGCATCCACGTGACTTAAACCATATACGTCCCACATAAATAATCGCACCTTATGCTTTAATGTAACACTATCCCTTCACATACATTTTTGTAAACTGAAAAAAAAATTATTTTTCTTATGTACCGTGTGGGAAAAAAAGGAAAGAAAAGAAGACTGGCGTGCACATCCTTGTAACCGAAGTATATGTCTGCTAAATCTTGAAAAGAAATGACCTATCAAGTATCAAGGGAGATAAGAGCAAAATGTAATATTTAGAAATTAATTTAGGGAAATAAGAGAAAAGAAATATTCAAAGCGATATAACTGCAACGGAAGTTTACTTTTACTGATTGTTGCATTAAAATAATAAAGAAATGCACATAAACATGGCCGCCAAAGTGACTGTTATATTAAATTTGTTTGCTATAATGGCAGATGAAAATCTACCCTGTCAAGTGATCACAGTTTGGGTGGAGTTAACAGTTGAATTAAAATACACCCGCAAAACACGTGTGCTTTCTAATACACACGTACACACACACACACACACAAATACACACATACGATTAATCTGAAAGCCTTAATGGCAATCTACCCCAGCTGCATCCTCTCCGTAACATTATTTCTTCTTCTTCTTCTTCTTCTTCTTCTTCTTCTTCTTCTTCTTCTTCTTCTTCTTCTTCTTCTTCTTCTTCTTCTTCTTCTTCTTCTTCTTCTTCTTCTTCTTCTTCTTCTTCTACTTCTTCTTCTTCTCCTACTTCTTCTTCTTCTTATTCTTTTTTGTGTGTTCCTGAATCATTACTTCTACATATACGTAATTTGTAAGACATAGTTTACGGTAGGACTAAGAGCTCTGCATTAGAAATTGATTTTAAAACCATTGTTTTATACCAATCTGGACTCGTTAAAAGATTATATCATTATTACTATGTAGCCTCAATTTCCCATAAAAAGACCTTGTGCACATCTTAGGCACGTAGTCTTGTAGACAGATGTAGTGATGCTAACGACACGTCGATATAGAGTGCACGATCTAACTAGACAGACACAAACCCATCCCACCTGCAACGGCTCGCTGGAGCTTTGAGTTGGGGATAGAAACCCTTGTGGACTAACAGTTGTATCCAATCCAGTGATGTAGCCAATCCTACGGGATAGTTTCAGTACAGTAGACGCTGTGTGGTCTGCGAGAAAAGCCCTGTAACATTGCATATATATTCTTTGTCACATACAGCAAACAGTGATCATCTAGTTTGCCAAATGTATAGTGAAAGTATGATTTTCGTTCCAGGAAATGCGGGCGTCGATGAATACGAAAGAGCTAAAAGCTTGGCTGGATCCGCTATCACCGACGGCCAACTAATAGATCATGCTGCTATTATTAATGCCCTCCGGGAAGTGGGAAGGGTGGAGGACTTTGGAGGCAGTGAATTTATATCCCTTGCCAGGATGATAGACTTGGGAGTTCAGATCGGTATAGCAAAAAAACGAGTCGCACACCAGGCACATCGGGTACTATTAGCCACAGGACATCGAGGTTGATACTGAGAACAGGATCTGAGCACATATGAACATTTCCGGAGTGCAATGATGATAACCAATGTAACTAATTTACTGATAGTGAAAGTATTTATTCAATTATTCGTTTGGTTGATTGATTGATTGATTAATTAATTGGTTCATTTATTTATTCATTCATTCATTATCCAAATGCGCCGTTTATTTGCCAAATTGGGCTTCATCAACTCGTTTTACGTTTTGTTCTGTACAATGTTATCGTTGTCATGCAGGGGAATCTAGTACGTTTGACCCGTGTCTTTAGTAGGTCTCCAAAAACAATTTAAACGGTATGGCAACATTCTAACGTGGAACTTGTGAAGCGAACTTAATAAACACCAGCGACTCAAGGGGTGTGAAAAAAATAGGTTGAAATTGAATAGAAACAAACATAGCCAAAGATATAGTTACGGAACAACACTCACAAACACACAAACACAGACACACTACACATATAATGAATGATGTTTTCCGCGCCTTCGAGCATATTTGGCATATAGGGCTTGCCCTATATTTTATAGACCAATCAGCATTAGGTGGGTGATGTGGTCAGCATCACGCCGACCGCCTTTACTTTCCCCAGGCGGTACACGGTACCCACTCGAAGCTGGATGTTGTACTTAGGCCCTAAGACCATTAAAAAAAAAAAAAAAGTTCATCTCCGCCAGAAATGAACCAGTGACCTTCTAGCAGGTCGGCCTCTGCCCCTCTTTTCTGGTACCTCCATTCTGATATTGTTTCCAATACACCGTGGTGTGTGATGTGGATAACATACGTTAGTTTCCCAGGCAACATTATGTTTTCTAGCCAGTTTTCCATGATATTCAGATTTTATTAGATGTTAGTATATCCCCCCCCCCCCCCCAAAAAAAAATCAGTCCAAGGTATTCTGAGAAAAGCCTCTATTTTTTTCCTGACTGACTGGGAGATAGTCCCGACTTAGATTCTTATGTTGCAGCAGGAAAGATGCATGCTCTCACAATGTTGACCATCTTGTGCTGGTACTTAACCATAGACTGGTAATGCTGTTAAATCTGTCCACTGCTATGGCCATCCTTCGTTTAACTTCCGTTGAACAGTGTCCATTGTCGCTTGTTGTTTATTTTCGCCATGATCATCGTCATCATCATCATCCTTCGTGTTGCATTACATGTCACATAGGGCTCCGCTCTGTTGCATCCAACTTGTTCGATTGCTGACATGGAGTTCCGCCCAGCGTTTTGGGCTTCTTGTAATGTTTCCTTTAACGTTCTGTTTTTCTGAACTTGACCGTTTGTTTCCTATTTTAGTACTTGTTTTGTAACTCTTTGCTCACTTCGTCTCAGAGTGTGCCCAATAGATATTCATCGTATCTGTCGTTTTGCAGTCGATATAGGTATTTGCCCTGACATTTCTCTGATCTCATTTTTTTTTTAAAATTCATCGCATTTGTGTTATAAGATTTTTGTCTCAAACATTTTTTTTTTTTTCAAATGCATTTAACTTTCGCTCCATATCTTTGGTAGTTTCCAACTTTCGCTAGTATATACTAGAATTTAAGTAACTTTGTGTAACTTGGAGCTCCTTACTGTGTTCAGGTTTTCAAAGACTGTTATCTCTTTCTCAGTGCATATCATAATTTCCTTAGCTGTGTCTCCTTGAAAGTCGTAATTGCTGCCCAGACAGGTGCAATTTTTTTTTACTCTTCTTCAGCATTCCGTGCCCCTGAGGTTCATTGCTGCAGATATCACCCGCCTCCACTCATCTCTCTGATTGGCCTTCTTTTTTCAATTGGTGACGCCAAGTGTTTGCAAGTCTGTCAGGACATTATCTCTCCATCGTCTTCTTCGTCTGCCTCGCGGTCTACGGCCATTTATCTCCCTTTTGTGTAGTCTTTACCTCTTTTCCATCTGACATTCAATATTCCCCAGCCATTTCAACCTCTTAGCTCTCATGATGCCAGTAATCAATAGTGATTTAAACAGATTGTGAATTTCGTTGTTGCTTCTCACTCTCCATTCCGTGCTGTTTGCATCTTTGATGTGTCCAAAGATTTTTTTTTGTGTGTTAATGTTTATTATAAAGCCACAATATTTAAGAATGCAAGTTACATTCAACAAGGGTTCTCAAAGTTGGAGAGATGGCGGTATACTCCTTTTTTAGGTAGAACCATTGCTTGCACTTCTGGTGAAGAGTTTGAGATCTATAAAAGCAGATTCTGTATGAAAAATGTCAATAGAGTAGTTATCTGTTGTTGTGATTAGGTCGTCTCAAATTGCTTATGGTAGTCATTAGGATCTACAACTGTGTAGACATAAACACGGACAATTTATTGCCAGTCTACATCACTGTTTCTATTCTCTGTCTCTCTCTGTCTCTCTCTGTCTCTCTCTCTCTCTCTCTCTCTCTCTCTCTCTCTCTCTTTCTTTCTTTCTCTCTCTCTATCTCTCTTTTTCTCTCTCTCATTCTCTTTCTTTCTCTCTCTTTCTCTCTCTCTCTTTCTCTCTTTCTCTCTCTATATGTCTCTCTTTTTCTCTCTCTTTCTTTCTTTCTCCAGAGCGGTTACTCATTGATCGAGATGTCATATAAAGCCAGACGCTTTAGCTCCATCGACGACGTTGAGAGGACATCCATCGGGAATCGAAGGACAGAGGCTAAACTTGAACTCACTACCTTCAAGACTAGAAACAAACACTTCACCACTGAGGATCTCCAAATCGCTATTTGTTGAGTACGACCAAGTTACCGTGACAGTTCAACGACAACAGACTTGCACGTGACAGTTCAAGGACAACATACTTACACGTGACAGTTCCAGGACAACAGACTTGCACGTGACAGTTCAAGGACCACATACTTACACGTGACAGTTCAAGGACAACAGACTTACACGTGACAGTTCAAGGACAACAGACTTACACGTGACAGTTCAAGGACAACAGACTTACACATGACAGTTCAAGGACAACATACGTACACGTGACAGTTTAAGGACAACAGATTTACACGTGACAGTTCAAGGACAACAGACTTACACGTGACATGTCCTGGTGTAAGAAAACTGGACCCCGGAGTTTGTGACCACCTCCCCACGGGACATCTGAGGAGCAGCAACAATCATCACCAATTCGACCAGCAAGTACTCCATCTCATGGATTCTATTTGGCAAGCAAGTACTCTATTGTATGGATCCTGTTTGACTACAAAGTACTCTATCGTATGGATCCTGTTTGACTACAAAGTACTCTATCGTATGGATCCAGTTTGACTAGCAAGTACTCCATCTCATGGATTCTATTTGACAAGCAAGTACTCTATAGTATGGATCCTGTTTGACTTTCAAGTGCTCTATCGGATGGATCCTGTTTGACTATCAAGTATTCTATCTCATGGATCCAGTTTGACAAGCAAGTACTCTATCGCATTGATCCTGTTTGACAAGCAAGTACTCTATCCCATGGATCCAGTTTGACAAGCAAGTACTCTATCGTATGGATCCTGCTCCCAACAGTTAGTGCTGTACTGGACATATGATGCTACACTTGTATTAAATAGACTGATCAGCACTCGCTATGTGATGTGATCAACGTCACACCGGCCGCTTTTTCTCCCCACGAATATTTTCCTGGTACCCGTTTTAGGCTGTGACGACTTAAAAGCCAGAGTCTCAAAGTTTCATTTCTGCGGGTGCAGATTCAAGCGCAAGATTGTTTTTTTGTTGTTGTTGTTGTTGCTGTTGCTGCTGACAGGTGACAGTATAGCCACTATGTTACAGCTGCCCCTTCTAAACCACAGTGTGTTTCTTTTTTGGTAAGTTAGTAAGGTAAAGCTCCCTTTTCGACACCTTTAGGCGTATTGGATATATATGGCTAGACTTATTTTTTTAAAAGTCCAATAGCACTTGGTATGTGATGTGCTCAGCATCATGCCGACCGCTTTTACTTCCCAGGACTGTACCTAGTACTCACTCAAGACTGGGTCGACCTGGGAGTCAAGGTCGTTTCTGAAAAATGTCCAGTTCAGCGAGAACGCGAAACCACGACCTTCCGATCCGCAGGCGGGCGTCTAGCCACCAACGCCACGGCGACTCCCATTCTGTGCTTGTAGAAAAAATAAAACCCCCATTATTATTGATTTGATTCGTATTGCGAAATGGACTGTTTACATTTTTCAGTTGAGATCTCACTATGTAACTATAGTAATAATTCACTAAAGTAAAGGTTAAAATCGAGAGAATCGACTTCATTGCACCGGGTTTTATCACATATGGCCCGGCCTCTCCCCGCAGAAGGGCTAGCCGCCTGCTGAGAGCGCCGCTTAGAAAACGGACTCCGTAGCTCTGGCGACGACCTCACGAATCTCCGTAAAAAAATTGCACTCGTAAAATAAATTACTCTCATTGAAGAGTTCGGTGAGGGAGGGTACGGTTTCTGGAAAACCAAGCCGAGGCAGATCGCCTCGAACGTGGATACAAGAGACTTTGCTATGAAAGCACATAGGGCTCCAGAACTAGCTAGCGAAAGTAAGGCTTTCAGGCGCGCAGTAATCAGAACGACGGTCTGTAGAGGACTTGAAGATCGATGATGATGCGGATCAGCGTATGTGTTTGACTGTTCACAAAAACAACATGGGTGATCGTCGCTTAGCCAGTATCTACTATCGGGTACGTATGTCACATTTTTGACAATATCATTATGTTTGATTGTCACACTGACAGCTTGCAGTAATAAGCAAGACGGTCTTTGGTACACAGACTGATGTCACGAACTATGGGATTGTTACCTGTGACAAGAACAATCGCTTCAAAGTCCTGCTCTCTCTGTCAGAGACCACACTGGCACACTGACTGATGTCACGAACTATGGAAATGTTACCTCTGACAATGACAATCGCTTCAAAGTCCTGCTCTCTCTGTTGGAGACCACACTGGCATACTGACTGTTGTTACGAACTATGGGATTGTTACCTGTGAAAGTGACAATCGCTTCAATGTCCTGCTCTCTCTGTCAGAGACCACATCGTAGATGATGCTGATGTAGGGGCTGTCTGACACCACCTCCTCTTTATATCGATAATAAGGGATGGCCCCTCGGTACCGGCACCGCTGCGTAGGCCTCAACCACTTCTGTGGACAACAGCAGATTTAGTTCTTTAGCAGCCTAGATGAGATTATTTAGGTCATCTGGTCAGAATGGAACACCGGCCAGCAGCTAGAACATACGACATGAGAACTGCAGGCTACAGAGCACACACACACACACACACACACACACACACACACCCTACCCCCCCACCCCCCCCCCCCCACACACCCACACACAAGGTAAAGACAGCGTCATTGCACACGGTTATAAACCATAAGTGCGCTGCCACCAATACGGACAGCTGATAAGAAACTGTCCGCCTGTGTCGCTGTCCGCACGTAACTCTGTAGCTACAGCGACGTTCCTCCAGTTACCCCAGAGTATCACTCTGGTACCCATTTTCTAGAGGCCAGGCGAACCCCGGGAACCGCCCGGTTTCGAAAACCGACCATGGCTGCAGGGAGTCGCAGCTGGATTTGAAAGCGAGCCTCGTATCGACTGCGCTAACGCGGCTCTGAAGGCTACAGAGCAAGAGACTGACAAAGAAAAATGTGGGTGGAGGAAGTAAAAGAGACACTACAGAAACGAAGTATGTCATTAACTCAAGGTACACAACTAGCTTCGATCCCAACTGCGGCGCATGCGCCCTGCGTTGGTTTCGGCAGAGGTATCAGGAAAGCCGACAGTCCAGAGAGCAATGGCAAACTACTGGACGTAACATTGCCTAGAAAAACCACTCAACAGCTAGGAGATGTTGGGGTTGGTTCTACAACGTCCTGTAAAGGATACGCAACTAACCTTTAACATAACTAGCAAAAGACAGGAAACTTTATCTAGCATCTCTCTGCGACGCTTCATGATATGTGGAGTAAGTAGGGCACAAGGAGAAAAAGAAGATTCGAATATAGGGTAATCAGTTTTAGGACAACACAAACATCAACATGATATGCCCTGTTGCTGTTGTTGTTCGTCCATTACAGATAATGAAGACCACGCTTTCTTTAGTGTGTCATGAAACTACAGCTGATTGTCTGTGACATCCCAATACGGGTCTGGGAGGATCTAGGACAATGAGTGGAGGCAACAGCGATGAAAAAGTGACTTGCTAGATGAATTGGTTCAAAATGACGAAGCGTTGCGCATGTGCTCTACCGATAAGCCTAGACGGCCATGCTTAGCTATTTCATACGATCATCAGAATCATGGATAAAGTCATAGTGTTCTTGTCTTGATTCCATCCATATGGCCAAGTCATCCAGGTGTTCATCCCTTTAAATTTCTTTTGCTCTTCCCCGTGAATTTTTGTCAGGTATAAACAAGTTATAAAAGTTCTCCTGTCTATTCTTTCTCATAAAATATCAACCAAAAAAAAAAAAAAAAATCACTATCTGCCTAGGTCTAGTTTCTCGATTAGTTTTGGTTTGTATCTGTCTAGTGGAGGATTGCTCGACTATTCTTCTATCTTCTATGATATTCTTTGCATTTTATGAAACAAATCACATCTCTGGTTTGGTTTGGTTTATACAAAAGATAAACATCATGGCACAACGGTATATAACCCATAAGTGCTCCGTTCTACTTCAACTCAAGCCTGAAGTTTCTTAGCGCAGTGCACGAACTCCTTAGCACTGGCGATGATCCTGAAATACCTTATGTAGACTTTTAACTCTAGATTTTACCTGGGCAACGCCGTTAGGCTTTTCTTTTCGATTTCCATTTTTTTTACGTGCGCAACAAATACACGGACGTACGATCGTATTACCCAGAGACCAGGGAAAATTACTAGAAGTCCATGTGAAAAAATCCTGGGCGTAAACCAGGACCTCCAGCACTCGAGGCTGACGCCATGCCATGAGACCACCCAGCCCACTAAAAAAAAAGAAGTAAATCCCATCTCTTCTCCAAGTAAAGCTGTTCTCACCTTGTCTGCTTATTTTTCAAGCCTCAGTTTCATACAGCAAGACAGGAGCTATATTCAGCACTGGAATGCTCTTTTTCTCATTGTAATTGGTCTGCTTGAATTGGTATGTCACTTTTATCATAGCAAATCTTGCTCTACTCTCTACAAGTAATTTTGCGTGAGATGTTACACCTGTTTTGAGGTAGCTATATTTTCTTTTTCTTTTTCTTCTTCTTCTTCTTCTTCTTCTTCTTCTTCTTCTTCTTCTTCTTCTTCTTCTTCTTCTTCTTCTTCTTCTTCTTCTTCTTCTTCTTCTTCTTCTTCTTCTTCTTCATCTTCTTCTTTCGTGTACTTGAAATTAATTATCTATATCTGCAATATTGTCTCTAGTATAAACTTTACTGTATTTTGTATTCACTCAGCGACCAGTAAACTTTGACTTGCACCGATGTTTCTCTTGGCCAAGTTTTGCCTTGATATGTTGTATTTGGGACAGTCTTGGAGGACATGATCTGTTGTCTCAGGTGCCACCACATGTGCACATGGCCGATTCGCTGATTTTAAATCTTGTGTACATGTGGCTGCGAAGTCGATTGTGTAGCTATATCGAATCACTCCTGCAAGATTTATGTCATGTTTTCAGACCCTGGTATTTCATTCTCCTAGGGAATTATTATTTATTTTTTCGTCAAATCTACCTCTAAGCATAGTTGATCACGGTGTACTGGTTTTTTTTTTTAGTTTGACAGTGCGGTGGCACAAATAGATCATTATGGTCTGAGGAGAAAGACAATTCTAGGAGTTACCAGGGAATCTGGTCGACGCTCAACACTGAATGAAATGGCGAGACGGATGTCAATCAAGCAGTGGTACCATCGGAATTGGAACTCTTCGCTTTCTGCTGAAGATACAGACAAAGCGCCCATGGAAGTGTCCCGAGTGCTATAATGTCGATTCTTAATTCAACATTCAACATTCACTAAATTATGATGCATATCCTATTCATTATCAGCAATCAATTATTTGATACGTAAACTACTGAAACGAATTGTTTACAACGGATCTTGAATGTAACAGGAGGAGAAATGAACATAAACGACGATATCATGCAAAAGC